TGAAACTATGGGTAAATTTGCTATCTCAGCTATATATGGTCCTCCTAAACACTCGCTCAGTCATGAAGGGTTACATAATTTCTTCAAAACACTGGGGAAAAAGTTCATTGCGGGAGGAGATTATAATGCAAAAAATACTGATTGGGGCTCAGGACTAACGACAACCAGAGGAAGAGTGCTTAACACCTACATAATAAATTATAGCCTTACAACAATATCTACTGGACATCCTCCCTACTGGCCAACTGATCTGAAGAAAATCCCTGACTTACTAGTTTTTTTTGTAACCTCAGGACTAAATAGTGCCTACTGCCACACAAAACCTAACTACGAATTATCGTCGGACCATTATGCAATAGAATTATTCCTTAGCAGTAGGCTGCTATTTAAACAAAATCCACCTCGGTTATATAACTCAAAAACAAACTAGGAATCGTTTAGACGACATCTGGAACACAAAATGAGCCTCAATATGAAGCTTAAAGACCAATAAGATATTGAATCTGGAATCGAAGTACTAAACGGACATATACAAGAGGCAGCAACTAAGGCTACTCCAGACCTGAACACCAATAATCAGTATTTCTATCCAAGCAGAATCATGAAACTAATTCGAAAAAAAAAACAAAAAAGAGGAAAGGATGGCAAAACAACAGAAGACCCTAAGATAAAGCAAAGCTTAACGCAATCTCAAGGCAATTAAAGCGCGCACTCAAAGAATTCAAAGATTTTCTCACTAACCTTTCATCGGAACCAAATCACACCTACTCCCTATGGAAAGTTACCAAAAAATTCAGCAGACCGCAAATTCAAATTCTTTCCTTTAAAACTACACAAGGATGGGCGAGAAGTGATGGAGAGAAAGCCGAATTACTTGCCTGCCACCTCGCAAAAATCTATGAAGCCAATGGAAAGTATCCAACATATTAATGGTACTAAAACCAGGAAAAGACAGCACTAAACCTGAATCGTACAGACCAATAAGTCTACTCCCACTGCTCTCAAAAGTTTTTGAAAAAGTCCTTCTAGCGCGACTGCAAGAATGTGAAAATTTCCTCAAACTAATTACGGACCACCGATTTGGATTCAGATGCGGTTACACGACAATGGAGCAAATCCATAGTCATTAACAAAATAAAAGGAAGCTTCGAGGAAAAAGCATACTGTCCAGCTGTATATCTGGACATTAGACAAGCTTTTGACAAGGTCTGGCACAAAGGCCTCTTGTACAAAACAAAAAAATGGTTTCCGCAGTTTTATCTAATAGTCCAATCTTATCTCGATAACAGAATAGCTCAAGTAAAAGTAAATGAGAATTACTCAAACTTCTTTAGCATAAGCTCGGGAGTTCCGCAGGGATCTGTACTGGGACCTTTCCTATACACTATTTTTACATCGGATCTACCACAAAACGATAACATTCTGACAGCTACATTTGCGGACGACACAGTACTAATGAGTTCAGATAGCGATTTAAACTGCGGAGTTAAGTCACTCCAAGGACATATTAACGAATTAGAGAAATGGATGGCCAAATGGAAAATTAATATCAACGAGGAAAAGTGCACGCAGGTGCTATACACTTTAAGAAGAGGATCATGTCCTATAAAAATTAACAACACCCCTATCTCAACTGCCAATCATGGATATCTGGGGATGCACCTGGATAGAAGACTCACCTGGAAGATGCACATCCAGAAGAAAATAAAAGAATTGGAAATAAAAACAAGGAAGATGCATTGGTTGATAGGTAGAAGGTCTAAGCTTAGTCTTGAAAACAAGATCTTATTATACAAAACGGTACTAAAACCAATATGGAGCTATGGTATAGAACTATGGGGAACAGCTAGCACCAGTAATATCGAAATACTGCAGAGATATCAGTCCAAAACGTTAAGACAAATAGTCAACGCGCCATGGTATGTAAATAATAACACCATCCACAACGATCGGAAAGTCTCTACCATCCGCCATAAAATAAGCCAAAAATCAACAAAATACCACACCAGAATTGGAAGACATCCAAACCCACTTGCTACTCACTTATTAGATAACAGGCCAATCCGACGACTCAAGGAAGCTCTACCGATCGACCTACCGGAAAGATTCCTTTAAATACAATCTATTAAAATCTACGAGCGCAACACAGAACATAATTTCAAGGTTGACTAGTGAATGTGACTATTGTAAATAAATCTTCTTAATGCTCTGTAACATTAGCAGATTGTTGATGGCAGCAAATAAAGTCAAAAAAATATATTAAACCTCAGGTCGGTCACACATAAGACGTAAAAGTTTGTGAATATTATGCAATTTATTTACAAATAGACTACATGAAAAGCAAGTCAGAAATTACGTAAATATTATGTAACATTGAGTTGTAAAATACAAATCACAACTGTTACGTAAATATTCTGTAGGATTGAGTTGTAATATATTAGTCAGATATTAGTTGGCTTGAGGCCGGCATAATCCACAGTTGGCACATCAGTTTGTGATAACCAGAAATTATTATCTTGTGAATCGTTGGAAACATATGACACTTTAGGTCCATTCAGTAAATTGGATATATAATCAGAAAGAAAATTGAATTTATTTCCCGAATAGGAGTAATTTTGCTTCCTGATATTGTGTTTCACCCGGCAATGTTTATTCAGATTGAACTGAGTAAATTTTATCACAAATAAAACAAACAGCCATTTTAAATCTGACAAACTTGTAATTAATAATCATAATGCGTAAACCAGTCACAAACGAATTAAACAAATATTACAATCTCACCAAACGACCGAACTGTCACGTGATCTTTTTGAACCAATAAGATGCTGCGTCATGTGCTGCGCCTCCTAAATATCCTACCACCTTCTATTCGTTGGTAAATATATGAATGGGTTGGTATTTTTGTAACTAAACAACTGAAGAATTTTGATTTTGGCAGTTCGATAGTTTACTTTAGATTGTTTACGACTTTAAGTGTGGGTTCAGTAATATAAAAATGCGGTGTTCGGTTTACGGTTGCTATAGTGATTCGAGAAAAAGTAAAACTCAGGAATTACAGTTTTATGGATTTCCAAGGGACAATAATTTACGCAAGCACTGGGCCAATGTTTGTGGGCGTGAGATCGACAATTTTAATGTTGTTTTCGCTAAAGTATGCTCTAAGCATTTCAGAAATGATGATTTTGAGAAGTATTCGGGGAAAAAAGGTTTAACACTTTTGCTTGGTGCAGTTCCGTCCCTAAATATGCCAAAATTAAAATCGCTAAGCAAACAAAAGGTAGGTCGATTTCAATATTATTAGTGGCACCACAACCCAGGTATTCCGTCGAAAATAATAGGAAATTAAGATTTTCTGTACAGATACATTTTAAGAAGCTAACACTATACTTTATTGCACATCTGACAACAATGCTTCCTTTACTCTTACTGCAAGTCTACAAAATAAGTTAATTTATGTAACTTTTTATTGAATTGTAAAACCGGCTGCAGATCTCTTTGTAATTATACTGAAGATTTATGGAAAATAATTGAATGCGACAAAAAGTAAATAAACTGTTCTTAAAAATAAATTAAACCGCACGATACGCCCGAATTCTAAATCCATCTTGTGTTAGGTATAGCAAGACTGCAGTGAGGACGTCATGACGTCTTGCAAATCGACGCAGTATCCTACCATGCATTCATTGTATCATGGTAATTTGCATTGCAGATAGGCGGTGGTGTTCTATGTAGTATATATGCAGTTTTCCATATACTCCGTAATAGCAGACTTTCGGGTCTATTCTGTAAGTTATCCGTTAAAATTATAGCGGACCTGATATGGTTAAAATCAACAGCTGATCGAAATAACCCAAAATGATATTCTGTATGCGCCTCGGTT